TGGACCCCAGGGCAGGACTCGTTTTGCGGGGGTTCAGCCTGTCTAATCCACCCAACAGTTCAGAAGCTGTGATAAAATGGTGTGAGTATTTGAAGTGTTTGAATTAGTAATTCCAGAAAGGAAACAACTTTGCCTTCCCTCTGCTGCTCCACTGTTTACCTAACAAGGCACCATGTCTTGTCAGATGTAGATATTTTGGGCCACCAGGAGACAAATATTTATTTATTCAGCACCTAATACCATTTTTTCCCCAAAATAAGACCAAGTCATATATTAACTTTTGCTCTAAAAGACACAATAATGCCTGTTTTTAGGGAATGTCTTATTTTTTTTCCACATGCAATCTGCTTTCACTCATGTACAGAAATGTGTATTTATTCAAATACAATCACATCATCTTTTTCTGGAATAGCGTCATAACTCCAAACCCAAATTCCGGCCTGCATTTCCTGCAACTCCACTTCCTGTCACACCATTGGCCCCAGTCGCTGGTGTCAGCAGTAGCCTGTCCTTAGATGAGCACTTCCTGTCCATGCAGCTGCTCGGAGCACATTGGCAACACAGCCGAGGGTGATTTCACCCCGTGAGTTCTGCACCCAGCTCACCACCTCTTGCAGGCAGGGCTCCACCGAGTTCCCATTGAAGTGTTACTGGAAGACTCGTGAGACCCGAGCGGCCACAAAAATGATGACAGTTAAGAGTGAAGCCCACACAAAAGCAGTGAGAAATTGCAGGCTCCAAAATTCAGAAAGCGCTTCCTTATTTCAGACAAAGGCATTAATTGTGGCTGTTACAACACATAGCGCACTGAATTATGAAGATTCACATTAGACAACCGTGTCCATACATTATCAAGGGTGCGTTATTCATGCGTTATCTCAGGACTATGACTGGTAAGTCTCAATTCATGTGTTTACATAGGTGTTTACCTCTCCTCTGAAGGCCCCTGCTCAGATATTTCCGAATAATTGTAAATTATGTGAATCATTTATTTTAAGAATTAATGTCAGTGATATCATAGTATGCCCAGTGAAGTTGAGGTTCAGAATTCTTGGCCTCAGTTGTTTGCGGACTTTTTCCTTAGGACATAACTAATAATTGAGAAAACCCATGCAATTTCATGGAAACCGCAAATACTGTATCCTCTGCAATTTTTCTTTTTTTTTTTTTTGCAATTGTTTCCTTTGCCAGGAGGTTTGCAAGTAGCCAATCTGAGAGCATTATTCAGTTCTCCTTCCTGCTGATTGGCTGCCACCCTGTAACCCATCAGATGCACCAGCACTCCTGCATCTTAATAGGTTAATATAGGGAGGGTGCTTGGGTTTGCTCTAAGAATGCTAAGATGTCACCGAAACATTCTGCACCTTCTACTTCTGGTAATGAACCTGAGGGCCAGAAGAAGTTTAAGACACTCCAAGAGAGGGTTGGACTACTGTACAATATTTTTATTAAATCAAATTATTATAGTACTGTATACAGCATTTTATTACATTAAATTACATAACTGCAGAAGACATAGCATATTTAGGGCTTAAACTATAAAAACAGGCATTTTCTGACCATATTTGAAATTCACGGTTTTTCATAATTCACAGGTACTCTAGAAATGTAACCCCTGCGAGTTTTTTTTTTTTTTGGTTCCACTGTATTCATTTATATTTTAATTTTATAATTAGAATTTTACTTTATAATTTTAATTTTATAATTTTATTCATTTATATTTTATATATTAATAATATTTTATAATTCAATGCATCTGTTGTGTGTTGTGGTGGACATACGGAATGAGTTCATGTGGCTAATGACCTTAACTGAAGTTTACTTTGGGGGTAGGGCTTATATTACACACATCCTGAAACATCATACTAGGGCTTATTTTCCAGGTAGGTCTTACTTTGGGAGAAATATGATAGGTGCCAAGCAGAAGGTACAAGTGTTGCACCAAAATTAGTTTGATCCCAGCTCTCCCAGAATGTACAGCCTCTTAGGAGAAAAGTATTCATTCAGAGACTCTGAACTCCTCCCTGTGTATTCCCAGAGGTACACAGGGCAATAGTAAATCTATCAGGGTTTGTTTGTTTGTTTCTTTAGCATTTTCAGGGCAGGCAGAGCACGGCCTTATTTCCCAGCTGTGCTCTGGGGGCTGCCCCGCAGACCTGAGTCCCGTGTGGGTTTGGCTGTGCACCTGAGGGTTGGGATGAGGCAGGCCTAGGGGTCTGCCTCTTCCTGATTAGGATTCTGCTTGCTGTTCTTCCTGGCTTTTCTTCCCTTGTGTGTGGACTCCAGTCTCATTATACAAAAGGGGATGGTGAAACTCATACAGAGAGTTGAGATCTTTTCAAGGCAAATCTGCTTCTTGATGAGACATTGATACTAATCTCACAGCTACTTAACCCTGATTTAAAAACCTGTTTTCTGCTGCTGTCTCACTAGTGAACATAAGTATTAGCGATTATCTCTTGTTCCATTATAGTTTGGCAATAAAAAACGCGTTTATCAAGTTTGGTAAGTCTGATTTAGAAGGGTAATCCTTCCTTTTGGGTGGGCCTTGAAGGCAAGATTAATAGACCTTTAAAACAGACTAGCTAGAGTTACTGATCCCATTATCTGCTGGAGGTTGCTATAGCAACTAGTGGTTTGATTGCACGGTGCAATTGGTGGGACAGTAGGTTAGTGTAAAAGGATCCTACCAATTTAGCAGAAACTTTCTTGAAGCAGTATAATTAAACTCCAGTAGAATGAGTGCCAAATTCTTTGAAAGCTGTGAGATGTGGCTCTGTTTAGTCTTAAGATTAATTGAAGATATGTTATCCTGAATCTGCACGTTCTCCACAAATTTTAAAACATAATTTTAGGATAAAGCCTTTATAATTTTGAAAGTTATTTTTAAAAATGAAGTGCCATTTTAGTGAAAACTTACCTGTTTTATTATAGTTTGTATTTTTTTTTTTTAAGTGAAAAACAAAGACTGTAGCTATACGGAAAAGGTATAAGCAGAGCATCGTGCAAAAATCACCTCCGCTGTGGAGTCCGGAGGAGGCTGGGAGCTGCCTACCAGGCGTGACTGTGTCCTTTGATAATGCACACTGGACTGCAGATGGTGTTATCTATTTTATTAACCACCCTGGATAAAATGTGTGCTGTTCTTCTGCCCTAATGCCATACACATACAGAATTCTTTGGAGATACAGTATAATAATCATTTAAGAGCTTATGGCCTGAGATGCCTTTAAGGGGATATCCTACAATGGGGAAAGCATAAGTGTGTGCCTCTCTGATGTCTAATGCAGATCTGTCTGTTAAAACTTGGGTTCTGATTAACCTTCCCTTTCCTTTTTAACACACTGGATTTATTATCTTCTCCACTTCCCTTTTTACAGTGTGGGTATATGATTTCAAAACTGTTGTGCACCTACCATGTGGCAAACACCATGGTAGGTGCTTCATAACACTTTTCTGCATCTGTGTAGTAGGATGAACAGTTTTATTCTGACCTTGTGTTTTGGACTTCTGCACTCAAGAGTGGGCTTTTGGGCCCATTTTGACATTCTTGTCTCTGACAATTGTAGTTAATGCAGATGTTACTCTGCTGCCACCAGGAGGCCATGCGTGGGATGTGCCAGGGGCACAGACTGCCCAGGGTGGGTGTCTGCTCCAGTCTTTTCTGCATGTCCTGCGGAGAGTAGTTGTTATGACCACATAAAATTGAGGTTATTACATTTTTAGCTTTTATCATGAAAGCTAATATGGGCCCTTGATTTCAAAAGCAATGTATTATTTTGGAAAACAAATGTATTACTTGCTTAAAAAAAAAATTCAAAGTTAGTGTTGAGCAAATCGTTTTAAAACACAAGAGAACTGAGACTGTGGCTTCCCTGCTGCACCCTCGCCTTATTATTTACTACTCCCTATTGTAATTTGTCATCCTTATTATGTCTTGCCATGGAGAGCCATATAAATGAAGCCATTATGTTTTTTCTAAAAGTGGCAAAGTAGAGCAGGGAAATCTAATTAAAAAATCTACTTGCTAGGAAAACTCCACATTTTCTCCAGGGTCAGCTTCCAGCAGGACCGTAGGCCCAAGAAGATGAGATTCCAGAAAAAAGCCTGGGGCTCCCCAGTATCACACACATATTCATACACATTCAGCTTCAAAATTTTCAGCCATTTGCCCTTGCTAAGAATGTCAGCACTTAATATCCCCAGGCCCAAACCTGCTCCTGAAGGTTATTTTAACAGCAGGGGTTCTTGTTTCCCGGTTTTCGGGAGAGAACCAATCAGACAAGCCATAGAGAAAAAGGTCCCTTCAAGTGGGCTTTCTTGTCCATCCCAGAACATCTGGATCACCAGTTCCAGGAAAACCTTTACCGAGTGAGGACACCTGGGTCACCTGGGGCTGGTCACTGCGAGCTGGTGGAGGTGAAGGCTGAGGTCTGTGCTGCAGTGCACCACTTTCAACTCAAGGAGAGGAAAGACTAACCGCTTCTGGAACGAGTTGTGCTCTTCTGAAACACTCAAACCTGTGGTATTTGTGGAAATTGGCAAACCTTTGGGATTTCCTCAGGTGGGAAGGAATCATGTGCTGAAAATCTGTACTGTTCTGAAGAGTCTTCGGTAGCGAGCAGCTTTCTTTTTGAATCTGAGGCATTTGTCTACCAACTCTTCTTCTCTCCCTAGCATTTCCTGTGTGAGCTCTATATGCTTGTTTATGTCTTAGTCCATACAGATAATACCAGAACCTGGCAGGCGGGTGATCAGATATTCTACTCTGAGGAGAGCTGAGTTTTAAAAACCTAGCTAGCTCTGTGCAGGCAGCTCCTGGACAATGCATCAGTACTTGTCGTCTGTTTTCTTTTCTTCTGCTCCTCCTTCTCCTTCTCCTTCTCCTTCTCCTTCTCCTTCTCCTTCTCCTTCTCCTTCTCCTTCTCCTTCTCCTTCTCCTTCTTCTTCTAACAAAAGCTCTAAGCAGCATATCCTGATGAGAATTATTCCTTTTGCAGAGATTAAGAACTTGGTGTTGAGCGGATCACCACCTGAAAAGGAAGATGGGAAGGTAATGATCTTCTACCCCACTTTCTTCTTTGCCTGTCTATCCAGAGTTAAAGTAGAAATGAAGATGTTGTAGTCATATGCTTTAGGAGGGAAAATCCACAAATAAACAGGGATGGACCCCAGGTCACTTTCAGAATAATCTGAAGTGCAGTTTCCTTTATCAAATTCTCAATCATTTCATGTTCAAACCTAGCTACCTTTCTGAGTTGTATGTGCAAGCTAATTAAATGTGTTTTCCAAAACAAAATTGTACTTGTAGTTTGATATCTTCAGTTTTATTTCTTCTGGGGCTGGATCCTTTCCTTATTTTTAATTCTTAAATAATGCTGAGTATCAACAAGTCTAGTTTTCTATTTACATGATGTGATGCATGTAACATGTTTTTACTGCTCTTTCCCTAAACTTTTTCTAGTTCACCAAAATAAAGAAACAAGCAGTAGTGTACCATGTATGTCATTAATTAAAAAATTCTTGACTTCATCTTTTTCAGTGTGTTGAAAGCCTGGCTGTTCAACTGAATGAACATGAGGACCAGGCCAGCCTAGATGTAGGTATGTTACAAAACGCTGCTTTCTGTGTGTTCTATGAAATATTCTGTCCTGAGAAGCTTTCCTACTTCTTGAAGCCCACCCTGATATATTTTCTTTATGACATCAGTCATAATATTGTGTCTCCGGGGATTAGGCTGTATTTCCAGTCTAAACCAAGAAAAAAGGCAATCAGAGAGCAGTTTTGTATTGTCACATGTTGGCTTGGTACTTCGTGTGGTTACTTCTGTGAAGTAACACAGTGAGCCATTGCTGGAGAGTAGGCAGTGAACTTGTGTCCTAGACCCTCATGCTGCCTGGCCCCAGGGTCCCCAGCTGTTCCCCACCAACACCACAGTCCCTGTTCCACGCCAAGCCCACAGTGTTCTCATGGAGCTGAGCCTGTGTGATCTACCCTTGGGCTTCAAGGAAGACAATTCTTGCTATGCACATGGGAATTCCCATCCGTTCACAGTCTTTATTTCCCCACGCGCGGGGGCTCGCCCCTAAGCCTCCTTCTATGCATTCTCTACTTTTCCAAGGCTAACTGGGCCCCAGCCCTGTCCCTTGAGTTCTTTAGAGGTAAACAGAATGTAATGAAGGTGTTCGGGACTGAGGACATAGTCAGCCTTGCTTGGGCCCCTGAGGGTGCATGAAGGTCGCTGGGCTGCTGAGTGGGGTGCAGACCCACACGGATCTGCCCTTCGGTTCTGTGAAGCTGGGGCGACTGCTGCTCCAAGAGAGCACACGTGGGAGGGCAGGCTGGCTCCGTTGGCGTGAGGAGGGTTGGTGGAGGCTGACGTTAGGTTAGGGAAAGCCGAGACAGTGCCCTGGGTGAGCTGATGGCAAAGGCAGGTGACCTGCTGATGCACCCCACTCCGAGCAGACTTGCACATGCCTCCCCGGGCCGAGGGAGTGTGGTCGGCCCTTCGGTGGAGCAGTTTCCCCCACTTTGAGGTCAGCAGCGCAGAGCCGGCAAGGAGGAAGCAGCCATAGCAGCGGTTGACTGCACTGGGCCACAGGTCAGAAGTGGCTTCCTGGCTGTCCCTGCCTGAGGGCTCCTGAAATCAAAGCAGAAACTTAGCCATGCACTTACATGTCTAAGATGTGCACGTCTATGTCTGGGTCACATTTAGGTTGAGTCTAGGGGTGAAGGACTCCATAGATACTGTGACCACAGCAATACCCATGTCACTAATAGTTCTGCTATATATGGGAAGGTTAATAATTGGCTTTCCCAAGTGGAGGAAGAGGAAGGAGAAAGAAAAACAAACATCTTGTCTAAATGGTTGTGGGCCTCCGGGAGCCATGGCTGTTATTCACATACAGGCTGTGTCATCTACAAACTGCAGCAGGCTCCCAGGAATGTGCGCTTTGAGGAATGTGTGCTAGACAAATTGCTGGGGGACGGGATAGATTAGCCATTGATAGTATTCACTACCGGGATTATTTTAATTTTAGGCTTTAAAAGATCACTCCAGTCTGCAGTGGAGAAACCTGCTGGGTAAGAAGGCTGGCTGCGGAAGCCGCAGTATCCTGGACCTCAGCTGAGCTTTGTCAGTAAAGTCCCTGTGGGAAGAGGAGGGTTAGGAAGCCCTGGAGAGAGACGAATGTGTGTCCCTTTCCTCAGTGACGTAAGGAAAGGGCCGTAGATGAGGCTTTCTGGCACCAGCATTTGCTGTGTTTTTCATTTAAACTCTCTGGATTTAAAAAGTCTCCTGACTTTATGCAAAAAAAGATGATAACAGATTTTACAGGAACTGCCTGAGACTGAGAAGGGGCAGCATGAAGTGCACCATAGTTAGATGGAACTGACACGGCTGTCCCCGGAGGGTACTGCAGAAGACTTGCCATTTTAGACATGTTGTATTCTGCCCCATTTCCCCGGAGCTGCTGATCAAATATGTGGGACAGAGGTGGAAGTGTTCTCTAACTCTAGAGTGCTCCAGCTCTGTTTGTCAGGATCACAAGAGAACTTTCTGTGGTGATGGACACGTTCTCCAGCTGTGCTGCCCCAAATGGTAGTCACCTCTGTCTACTGATCATGGGGAGTGTAACTTTAATTCCATTGTATTGTACGGGGCAGACCAGAGGAAGTTCCCTTTGTGTTGTTTGTAGTGCCCCTTCAGAACATCAAGAATCACACTGGCCATTCGTTGAGAGACCAAAAATGATTGGTGATTGGAGGATTACTGTCTTGGGTGGGTAATTGCTGGTAAGCTTATCCAGGCTGGGCCCCCAGAGCTACCTCAGTGTGGAATTGGCAGTAAGGTTCCCTTTAGGTTGAATGCAGGGCTGATAGCTGTAACTCTCTGTGGATGCTACAAGGGCCAGCACTTTGCTGGAAGGGGAGAAATATCAGTGGATGGACAGTCTGTTACTGTCACAGGGAAGAGGTGGGCTCCTTCATACTCCAGGCAGCTTCTATGGGAAGACGGCAAGGCATTTGAAGGCAGTGGCAAAAAGGAAGATAGATGAAATGACTGGGTCAGTGCCAAAGCTAAGAAGGAAGAAAGGGTCCAATTGGCTCAAGTCAACAGAGATACATGTGATTAGGAACGGGATCAAAACTTTGAGCAGCACTAGGATCAACAGTGGACAGCAGTAAATGCTATGCCTAGGAGGTGGGCAGTGAACATCTTACAGGAGCAAATGGACAGCCTATGGGAAATGCAGGCAAGAGTGAGCCCAGGTGCCATAATGAAATCCCGACTGCAAACAAAGATGTATAAAACCATCACTGAACACCAGAGCCATGAATGGTGTGATAGTCACTATCTTGCAAACTCCTTTTAAAAAACTGAATCTGAAAAAAGGAAACTGTGTGGTTGTGGTTAGAAGTTAAAATTTTCCAGTTAAAAGTTAATTTCCTGCTTAAGGACTATAAAGCCAGAGGGCCAGTGTCTCAGGTGAATCATAGAAGCTTTTAGAAGATGATGGTCCTGCTGTCTCAAAGTATGAGTTTGTGGCTGACAGACACTCCCACCAAACCTAATTTTCTTACCCTAGTCGATCATACATTGTCTGTGTTAAAGTTTAGATGAAATTTATTCGGCCAAATTTGTATATCCTGTGACTACATGCATGAAAAAAAGGAAGGATTGGTGAAATTGACATGACAAAACAAGAACTATGTGAGCATGTTTTAACTTTCCCCATGGGGAAGGTGGCAGGGGGAGACGGACACTAGGAGAGGTGGGGATGGAACTGGCTGTCATCTCCTCTTTGCTTGGGGAGTTTTGACACTTCAAAGCTCTGGCTTGAATCAGTGTCACATGTGCCATTGCAGGTCTAGCTGGCAGTGACTAGGCTTGGCATGCGTGCCAGGGAAGAGTTTAGACACAGCATCTTGCTAAATAAGCCTCTTGGAAAAATTTAGTCTTTTATAATTATGTAAGTAAATAAATACAGCAGAAAAACTGGAAACTACAGAAAGAGTAAAAAAGAAAAAAAGCCCTTATATTCTCCACCCAAAGACAGCTACTACTAAATTTGGATGTATTTCCTACTAGTGTTTCTTTTACGTAGTTGTGATCCTGTAAATAATAGAAATTGTATTGTGCATTGTTTATTTATGTGACATACCACAAGGAAGCTCTGTTTTTAGAAAGTAGCTAAAAAGAATGTTATACTTTTTTTCTGCAAGGAACATAAAGTACTTTTATAAGAAGAAAGAGAAAATCTTGTAGATCCTCCTCACACGTGTCCTTTAGCTAAAACAAAAATTCTTAATAATGCAAGGTGGGATTGAAATATAGTGAATATTTAAGTTTTTAAAAAATTATTACAGTAGAAGACATTGCCCCTTGAGATCCTCCCCCTCACTTCAGACAATCTCATCCCTTTTGCTACTTTCTAAAGAGTTCTGCATGTCCTCTTTTTTGAATGTCTTTGTGGGATATGAATGTAGCTGCTGAGTGCCACCCAATGGTAAAGCAGGCTCATAGAATATTGTGGTGTGTCCTCATCCACTTTATCCGCTGGATCTGGCACCATGTGACTGCTGGCTCTTCCTCCAAATCAAAATGACCATGAAAGGTAATCATTGAGGACATCAAGACAGGCATGACAGTGCAACTAAAGGCACTCATGGAAGAGGACTTCCAGAATCGCTTCGGAAAGTGGCAAGAATGATGAGGTAAGGGTGTTTGAAGTGAGGGGTGTACAGTAGTTTAAGGCAGATTCATGGCAGTGTGTAACTGAACTGTACTAGAACAAACTTTAAAATTTTCAGAATATTCACTATATTTTTTGGTTTTACCACATTAAGTTTTTTTGATGTTACAGAGTGGCCTTGCTGGTACGTATGGGGGGCTGAAATTGCAGCTTTTTTTCTTTTTTAAAAACTTTGGGTCATTGCATTGCTATTATTGTTCATTGCTTGTAAAAACTATGAGAGAAAGAAAGCTTCCTAGTATGTATTGGGCCTGGTGGGGTGGGCACTAGGGAGACAGATGACCCAAAGCTGGACATGGAAAGAAACCTGACTTGACATGGAACAGAACAACACAAAACCTGCCTGAGACCAGCTGAAAAGAAAAGGAAGCAGAACAGATGGAAACACGTACTAGAATCTGAGGTTCCTATGTGTCAAGCTGGAGACACAAATCCTTCTGTGGACAAGTCCAAGGGGTAGAACAAGGCCCCCACAGAGGAGGTTTCAGAGAAATGTCAGCAGAGGGGAGCTGGTAGAAAATGATTGAACCATCCAAGGAGACAGCCCCTCTCAACCCGAACATTATGTTCTCCTATATCCGTTGCTGGGCCACCTGGTAGAGAGGTCCAGGCCCCGGATTCTGTGGAGTCTGTAGCGCCAGCCTGGCAAACAATCAAATCAGGAGAACTAAGTAGATTAGCTGCCCATTTCTTCTTCTATTAGCTACAAGTTTGGAAATGGGGTTAATGCTACCAAGCTACACATGCTTGTAAAACAGCACTTTTAAATTGCCTGAGAAAATTGAGTTTTGAGAAGGTTCCAAACAGGATCTCAAGTGTGGAATCTTAAGCACCAGGGCCCATGTAAG